GCTCTCCGTAAGCACTCTAGCCTACACTCCTTTCAGACGAGACATAATCACGTGAAGACACGTTACGCTCGTGTTGTGTTCAAGGAACCTGTCCTTGAACAGGAAAAACAGGCACTCGCTTGTTTAACTATTTTGCGATCTAGATTTCTTCTTCTTTTTGAAGTGAGAAGTTGTCCGTCCGTCCGTCCGTCCGTCCGTCGGATATTATTTATTTAAATGTACAGGGCTCGACATTATAAATGGCACGCTGGCCCGGAAGCATTATTTAGACACCCCGGGCCAGCATAACGTACTTTCCACTTGCCCGCTCGGGCCACTAAAAATACTGTTTTAAAAAAAATGTTTCCTGTGGTATTGGTATTTTGACTAGCTATGACTTGACTATTGTGAAATTGTTTCGTTTATTAACGCTACAACATAGCGTTTCGTGAGTCGCTTGTCGTTGTTGGGTGAAAAGCAAACTGCTGTTTGCTGCGGAGCGCAGCGCGAGCAGGCTCCCGTGCGGGTGCGCGCTCCTTCACTACAGACTATCGCGCCACCTAACCGTTCACCAAACTGTTTTTAATACCAGCGGTAACCGGCCAAGCGCCGGGCAAAAAACTATCTTCAAATAAAAGAAAGTCACCGGAGGAGTTAAAGGACAGTGACAGGGAGCATGAGAAGAAGAGGGAGAGAACGTTTCAGCCAGTTTGATCGATGGAGTTGGCTTCTAGTGGTGCAGTGCAGTCCTAAAACCCTTTTATAATCTATGGATTAGATTTATGATTCGAAAATTAAAAAAGTAGGGTACATGTGGAGATTATCCAGCTGAACAAAACGTGCATTTATCAAACAGGTTTGTTTTCCACAGACCTTATTTCCAGCTATTTTCCAAAACCCTGTGGAGAAGTCCCATTTCCTTTTTGTCGAGGGAACCAGCAGCTTACTTCTTGGTTTTATGACGCGTCACTGGCTGCACCTCTCAATATGATGCCAAAATAAACAAGGTCTTCTGTCGGCTCTGTACATCAATGCCGACCTATGCTGACAAGTCAACCGGAAAGAGTAGAAAAATAAACGTATTCGGCCTATCGGGAAATGTCCAGAGTGTAGAATAAATGAAGGTTCTAATCTATCATCTACTTACATAGGCCATTACATTTCTAACTCCAATGACAGGAAAGCGCAGAAGCGCATATTATACCACAAATAATAATACTCATCATATAATACGCAGAAATGTTTTAACAATGACCAACAATTTAATTATTTTAATAAACCAAATATGGAGCAATTGAGGAAAATGAGGAAGAAACTGATGATTCAAATGTTGTAGTAATAGTTACAAGTAGTAATGGAGTTAGTGCATAAATTACTATTGCAACAAATGTGTTCATTTTCTTCATTATAAGTCGATTTCTTTTGGACGAATGCTCCGGGCCAGTGGTTACAATGGTGGGGCCAGTGATAACACCCAGAGGGCCAGTGGTTACAATGGTGGGGCCAGTGATGACACCCAGAGGGCCAGTGGTTACAATGGTGGGGCCAGTGATAACACCCAGAGGGCCAGTGGTTACAATGGTGGGGCCAGTGATAATACAATTCCACCGGCCCGGAGGGCCAGTGGCATTTTACCCTTAATGTCTACCCCTGCAGTGTATACAGCACCTACAATGTGGCAAAAAGACATTGTTACATCACTGATTCGGGCAACAATACTTTGTGGGAATACCACATACTAATTGTATGTCTCTACAACGTTTGTGTTTCTAGATGTTCATCGTTGATCAGGTAAAGGGTGATGGCTGTTCACTAAAGGAATTCACTATCACTGGCTCGACATATGCCCCGGAGGGAGAAGTGTGAGTATTCCTTCTCCATATGCATGTGTGCTCTGAGAGTTTCATAATGCATGCAAATCCCCAAAAATCCATTCTACTTGAAATTGATTGATAAAAGTGAAGGCGAACATGAATGTATTGTTTCATACTTAAACTACAAAATGCTTTATGAATGAAATCTGCACAATTGTCTCACTTATTGTCTTTGATTGGCTTTTGTTTAGGTTCCTTGATGGCAAACAAGTCAAATCCTCCCAGTATGATGCCTTGGTAGAGCTGGCCTCTATCTGTGCTCTGTGTAACGATTCCTCACTGGACTATAATGAGGTTAGTCGTGATTTTCTTTTCCCTTTATTCTTTAGATCCAATAGGCGCTTTCACACCGGAGTACTTTTCCCTTTTAGTTCCGATAGTTCCTGGGATTTTGCGTTCACACCTAAAAGAGAACTTAGTTCATGAGAACCTTTTCAGTCCCTGCTAGAGAGCAGGTACTTTCCTGGGCAAGGCAAGTTTATTTATATAGCACTTTTCTCTAGGCGACAATTCAAAGTGCTTTACAAAACAAATGAAAAGACTTTTTAGGAATACATACAGTAAAAACACATTATAAAATGGCATTTTGCAACCGGCATTACAAAGCAAAGATAATAAAATAATACAAATAAACGCCACAGGTATACAATACATGTTTAATAGGCATACTGTAGTGCGAATATGAGCAGCTCAATTAAAAGCAGCGGCAAAGAGATATGTTTTTAGTCTCGATTTAAAAATAGGAAGCGTTTCTGCGGACGTGCATGATTTGGGTAGTTTGTTCCAGATTGTCGGGGCATAACAGCTAAATGCTGTCTCCATGTTTTGTTTTTACTCTCGGAACCGATAGCAGACCCGTCCCAGAAGACCTGAGGCACCTTGATGGCTCGTAATTATGTAGAAGTTCAACAATATACTTTGGTCCTAAACCATGTAATGATTTAAAAACTAGCAATAGTACTTTAAAATCAATTCTTTGGTCGACTGGAAGCCNAATTGCACAGCCCTAATTTACAATACAGTGCAGGGCTCGACATTATAAATACGTTATGCTGGCCCGGGGTGTCTAAATAGTGCTTCCGGGCCAGCGGGCCATTTATAATGTCGAGCCCTGCACTGTATTGTAAATTAGGGCTGTGCAATTAATCTTGTTTGATTTTGGCTTGCAACTATAACGAAAACAACGTAATCGAAATGAAACTATTATTATTTTTATTTTAAAAAAAAAAGAAAATGTAATTTCTTTTTTTTTTTCTTTAGTTGAATCATACTTAAAGCTCAAGGTTGAACTGTTAAAAACATACTGTTCACATTAATTTTTTCAATAAATTGATGTTTTCAAAGTAAATGGATAATTGTTTTTAATAATTGTGATATAAATTATTGACCCAAATAATCGAGATTATGATTTTTGCCATAATCGAGCAGCCCTAGTAAATGATTTAGGAATTTAGATGTGGGATTCTGATGGACCAGCAGGTGGCAGCGTACTACCATCCACAGGAAATAAGACATAAGATGCTTGAACAAGAACAGAGTCAAATAATAAAATGCTGAGCCAAAGCAGACACTGAGCTCTCTGGTGGGAAGGCTCCATAAATGTCATCTTACAGCGAGACGGACACAAGACTCCTCTGTGTGCAGACACACAACAGGAACAGTGTATGAAGTGAATCATTCCTAGGCGGAAATCATTTGACCTTGAGGATCCAATCCTGGGTAAGAACACCGGCAATAGGTCTATTCAGGATCTTCATTTACTTTAATCTTTTCTTTCAATTGAAATAGCACGGGGGAACACAATTATTCTCCACCAGGAAGAAAGAAAAACGGCACACACTACTAATATTGCCTTCGCTATCCAAATATAAGAGGTGGATTTTTCATCAACTGATGACGTAAACAAACACACAAGGTCTCGAGTCAGACAACACTCAAGCTGCTAATATAGTTGCACACATGGATAGATAACACGTTCTTTCTATCGGAGCACCAACACCCAGAGGTGCAGGACAGAAATACATGATGAGGGATGGAAACTGGAATCTCTGAATAAAATGATCATCTGGCATTATGTGTGCACTTCGGCAGCGTGGAGACAACAGAGAGCAGTGACGTCAATGGCGATCCGACACTTAACAAAGAAAGGAATTGAACGTGAAGGAGGAACATTGAGTCACTGAGGGCACCGCATTTTAGTTCAGCTCTATTAAGACACGAGTGGTTTGCATGCGTCAAGCTTCTCCGTCACCGACTATCAAATAGCCAGAAATAGAATCCGTTAGTTTCTAAATGAAGCCTTTTTAAATTTGCTTAACATAATGTCGACTATAAGAACATTGTGCAGGGTGAGCAAGGGAAGAGGACATCTTTCAACACAAGGTCACTTATGCAACTCTACTGCTGGTTCTGCTGCAAGTGAGTAACTACTGCATACTGATCAGCATGCTGCCTGAAAGAGGAGGGGGAGGAGGGAGGAGGGAGGAGAGAAGAGGGAAACAGAAGAGCGGCGAGATAACGGGCTGAGGAAGATGGAAGACGCAGGGCAGGAGGAAACAGTCACACAATGAGCTTATAACGTACTAAAGGGGAACATGTATACACGTATCAATTTGCATCGCTGCCTGTGTATAACTAAATCATATTTTTCCATTATTAGCCATATAGCGTCAGCAGTGGCGCTCAGTAAATCCCTACTGTCATTAAGAGGCCGTCGAGGTTGCTTTAAAAAGGTTTATAACTTAGCTTACCTTTGCTCTGTCCATGTAAGGAAACTGTTTTAACTTATTTTTGGCCTTTTTTCCCAATTTGTTTACATTTCCTATGCATAGCTGACCTTTTCATCGTACTGTTGTCATGGTGAAGATGTACACAGACACACATCAGCTTCAGCGACAGAGACACATCAAATAGCGTAATCCTTTGCAGTTCCAACTCCAAAGGGTACACTGCGACTGGAGTTTAATTTTGTTGTCACTTAAATATGTTCCCTGATGCAATCCTTTCCTAATTTCACTTCTAACTTCACAGTTATTCCAATAAACCTATCCAGAGAGACATATTGAGACTGTCCTGTCACCGGGTGCTTATTCAACATCATTTAGTGGTAGGGACTTTAGCCAGGAGGAGCATGGAGGGATTATTATGACCGTCGCTGTACAAGTATTGCCATCTGATAATTCGTCATTTCTTTAATGATAAAATACTTTTGCTGTGCTTATATAGTGTGAATTCATTAGTAGCCTAGTCGGGCCCTCCAACGTGTTGACACTCTGAAGTGCATGGTTACACTGGTTACTATGAAACCAGTGTAAAGGTTGAAAGATAAGCTAAGAATGTCAACATTTTCAGTGAACCGAGCTGACAGGTGAAGGTTAATGAGCCGATTTACATGGCAACAAATAGCCTGTGAGGTGGCAAATGGCAATAATTTACTTCCTGTAAGATCTACAATTCAGGGTTAAACAAAGTGCTTAGAAATACTTAACATACTCCATTCAATTAGATAAACATTGCATTTTTCAAACTCCAAACAGTACAATTTGATTCTCTATAAAAAGGTTATATGCGAGAAATTCACAATTAGGCTTTTGCTGATACTTTTCCTCCTCTCTGCCCCCGTTCACTCTCTTACCCTGCACACGGACATCTGATTGGTGGTCAGCGTGCCGGTCTTGTCAGAGCAGATGACAGATGTACAGCCAAGGGTCTCCACAGACGGCAAACTGCGGACAATGGCATTCTTCTTGGCCATGCGCCGAGTTCCCAAAGCCAGACAAGTAGTGATGACAGCAGGCAGACCTGAGAGGAGCAGCAACAGAACCACAGGGAAAGAGAGGATTAAGACAAACATGAGTGGAGATAAGCTGTTAGAGAAAGGCATCCTGTATCATCAAGTGTGAAATATAAGCATTTAAAAAGTAGGATTTTTGAACAAAATGTTCAGGAAGTCTGAATAATGGCACATCATTGAAGGCTCTCAAAGCAACAAGCGTGTCAAGGGCAAGGCTGTTTGTGTGTGTGTGTGTGTGTGTGTGTGTGTGTGTGTGTGTGTGTGTGTGTGTGTGTGTGTGTCCGAGCCTGTGTCTGTGTCTGTGAGAGTGTGTGTCTGTGTGTGTGAGTCTGCGTGTGTGTGTATGTGTGTGTGTGTGCATGTGTCCGTGGGTGTGTGTGTGTGTGTGTGTGTGTGTGTGTGTGTGTGTGTGTGTGTGTGTGTGTGTCCGAGCGTGTGTGTCCGAGCGTGTGTGTCCGAGCGTGTGTGTCCGAGCGTGTGTGTGTGTCCGAGCGTGTGTGTGTGTCCGAGCGTGTGTGTGTGTCTGAGCGTGTGTGTGTGTGTCTGAGCGTGTGTGTGTGTGTGTGTGTGTGTGTGTGTGTGTGTGTGTGTGTGTGTGAGTGTGTGTGTGTGTGTGCGTGTGTGCGTGTGTGTGTGCGTGCGCGTGTGTGCGTGCGTGTGTGTCCAGTTTACCCTCTGGGATTGCAGCAACTGCCAGAGCCACAGCGATCTTGAAGTAGTAGACAGCACCTCTGATCCAGGAGCCTCCATGGACCGGGTCGTTGAAATGTCCAATATTGATGAGCCACACAGCGATGCAGATTAGCGTAATGACCTTAAAAATCATAATAGCAAACAATTATGCATAACTCAAATTATACAGAAATAGCAGAGGTTGTTTGAGAGAGTTAATAAATTACCTTGGAGAGTTGCTGTCCGAACTCGTCCAGTTTCTGCTGCAGCGGCGTGCGCTCCTGCTCCGTTGCTGCCATCTCATCTCGGATTTTGCCGATCTCGGTGCTGCCCCCTGTGGCCACCACCACACCCACAGCCTTACCAGATGAAATGTTGGTGCCCTGTGGAGGAGGCGGCAGAAAACAAAACGTATTATTAAACGGAAAAGCTTCTGGGGGTAAAACTGGTCTGACGACTACGAGCCATGTGTCACAGAGACACAGCGAGGAGGTTCAGGGAGCAGCAAGTGTCAACATGTCGATACATTTCACTCCTAAACTAATCTAAGTAACCGTGGGAGCAGGGACGTGCACAGACATTTTGGGGGGCAGGAGCTCAATTGAGAAAAAGGGCACTTCCCATAATAATTTATAAAAAAATGTAACCAAAAAGTTAAATATAGTTGCACGTCTCTGACTTACTGACCAATTTATTTTAATACCCTCACACTCACGCAATTCTATAATACTCAACAGAATTCTACAAAATAATCATTAACAAAGAGACAATGGTNCTCACACACACACACACACACACACACACACACACACACACTCTCACTCTCACTCTCACTCTCACTCTCACTCTCACTCTCACTCTCACTCTCACTCTCACTCTCTCTCTCACTCTCTCTCTCTCTCTCTCACATACACACACACACTCTCTCTCTCACACACATACACACACACTCTCTCTCACACACACACACACACACACACACACACACACACACACACACACACACACANGTTGCACGTCTCTGACTTACTGACCAATTTATTTTAATACCCTCACACTCACGCAATTCTTTAATACTCAACAGAATTCTACAAAATAATCATTAACACAGAGACAATGGTCTTATTTAGTATTTAGTAATGTTGTTATTTTGGTCTATTTAGCTTTCATGTTTTCTTTCACTCTAATGGAAAGAAAACCTCCAAAAAACACATATAAATGGTGTTCGTTTTACTACCCTGTTTGAATTCATTTATAGATATAAAGCTAATCTGCATATTTAAACACAACATTTCAGGGAAAATACTGACTCGACGTAAGTAACTATCTGGGGTGCTATGTTTTTTGTTTTTTTTGTTTATCCTTTTCAGCTGCAATGCCTTGGTAACTGCATGCACATTTGCGAATTTTAATTAGGCCTAGTTAGCGCCTAATTTGCATATCAATGTGGCAATTGTGATGACGTTATTAGATACATTTTGCTGCATTCACCTGTAGTGTCTCCCCTTAAGTACAGTAGCCTGTATGTCCATGATAAGTTGCCTTAGCTAAACCTTGAGCTAACTTATCCATTAGCTAGTAGCCTACCTTAGTTAGCCTAACTATATTTATTTTTGTCTTTTGGCTGTAAACTCGAGGCACTGGCAGCTTAAGTGATTTGTTCATCACCACTCGCCTTCAAACAAGCCAAGAAAAGCCGGCATAACATGGGACTGAAAGGTGGGAGGTGCTGCTACCTGTCTGTCTGAAGTGACTGCCGATGACTGTCCGCACCGCTGTGGAGGGAGGGAGGGAGGGTAGAGAGCATCGGAACTTCACAGTCTACTCTCCCGACCTTTTTTTATTATTTTGTATTCAATCAATATATTTTTGGAAAGGGAAACTGTGCGCAAGCAGCAGTGGATATATATATTCTTTTATTGAAAAAAAAAAATGAAAAAAAGCACCCCATAAAAAGGGCAAGGGCTCAAGCCCACTCTGAGGTCTATGTGTGCACGTGCCTGCGTGGGAGCTGCTATGCAAGGAAATGTTTCTTTTGTAAATGAATGGACACTGAAGCTGTTTGGACCGGCACAGTTATGTTCTCGCATGCAAGAGACTGAAAGCCACAATATAAAAGGGCTAATTCCGTATGTTCCAAAAAAGACACTCAGGAGGACATTGTTCCTTTTTATAGGTGTAGTTAAGATAAAAACGGGTTACAATACTAAGCAGACTTAAATGGTCTTGTGGGTCACTCACAGAGAAGAGCATGTTCTTTTTGTCCTGGTTGACGGCACGCGGGTCTGGCACAGGGTCGGTGTGTTTGATCACAGACACAGACTCTCCTGCAGGAAGTGGAAACAGAGCATGTGAGTGAGGGGAGCGGAGAGAGGGGAAAGTGGAGGTTGTGATGCTCGGTTGACACATTGGGCAGATGTGTGGAAAAGGCTTTGCAGCTGACTGAGCCGGCATGACAATCATCAGACGCTGCAACGCCACTGCCTTTCAAAGCCCATATGTGATGTGTGTAAATAACGGGGCTGCACTTTTCCTAATGCCGTAAGTAAGGGAGCATTTGACAAGCTGTAACGCCATGAATGGGGGAGGAAAGAGGAGAGAAAATAGCTGCAACACTCAAATATCCCGTGGAATTTGCTACCAATTAAGGCAGCATAGGAAGAGGAGCCACTTAAGGACTCGATTCACATAAACCCTTTTCTCTCGTGCATTTTCCATCTCTCCCCTTCTAATCCTTTTCATCTGCACTGCTCTCTAATTAGCCATCTACAACTTCATTTATTTAATTTTCCTCTCATCCATATCACACTCCCTTCCTTTAGCTTCGTCACTGCCTGAGCAGCCATGACAACAGGGGGTAATGAGGCCATGCACATCAAAAGGAAGAGGAAATTGCTTATTCTTGTTTTAGTGTCTGGGTTGATCACAAGAGGCGAGGCGGTGGCAGAGGGAGGCGGAGAAATGATACGAAGTAAATGCATGTTTTTGTATTTTCAAGCTAGATGTGAAATGTTTAAATACATGTATGTGTAAAATGGAGAATCACAGAAGAAACAGACGAACAAAAAGGAAATGGTTTTACCTGTAAGAATTGATTGGTCTACCCTCAGTGTTGTTGACTTGATGGAGCAGAGCCTGATGTCTGCGGGCACTTTATCTCCAACTGTGGACAGAAACAAAGCAAACGAGACATTAAAAAGGACCTCTTTACAAAGTTAAAGGGATCTGTAAATGCTATGACGACAGGTGGATGGGTACTTTGTAAAATACAGGCCATAAAAGCAGACGCGTTGAGATTTGATCAAATACTGTATTCACCTAGTTGAGTAAATGTTCTACGTGTAAAAAGACACCTCCTAAATTAGACCATCTTCTCATGAAAGAGAAAACACTTTGAAATAAACCAAATCAACAAACAAAAGTCGCCACACACAGAAGAAAATACACTGCTGTGTTAAATAATAAACAGGGGCTGAGGGAAAGTCATGCGTTCATAGAATTATTAATGTTCCACTCATCTGATGACGCAAATAGATTGCTGCTCATTCTTTCCACTCACACATGGCTTTAGCAATCTCTAGTTAAACCAATGCAAAATGTAAATATACAACAAAGTCCAAACAAGTGTTTCCTCTGCAGAAGGCAGATAAGTGCTTTTAAAGCCACCGAAGATTATTAGCTTTGCTTAAAACATTATCAAACAGCTTTAATTCTGCTGTCTCATTTCACATGCGGTTTGGGTCTGATACGGCAGATACAAAGTGTTGATAAGCAACTTCAAGGCTTTGATTGTAGAAACAAATATTTAAAATGTTGGCCATTCGGATACTCATCTGCTTTCAAGGGATAGTTTAAGATTTAAAGACTTTTATGGGATAGGGATGGAAATATCAACAAGCAATGTGTTATCTCTTGATAGGTCAGATCTATGATGATCTATGATGAAGAAGAAACAATATAACCTGAGAGGATTATACTAGAAATACATTAAAGTGTGTTATTAACTAACTATGGGCCAAGCAAGGTGGCAGTCACACCAAATCAAGCAGTCCAAGATTTCCCTCAAGTTTGTGGGGACAGTGTTTCTGACGTCATGCTGTGAACTTTGTTGCACAAAAAAAGTTTTACATCAGATCGTTTTTATGATCTCATTGACTGCAAATACATTTATTTCACAGCAGCCAGACAAGTAAATATGTTGGGACTGTGCCTTGGGCTGGAGCTTGTTTCAGAAAAAAACGGCATCAAATTCCCCATGAATTGGTCCAATGAGCATCAATGTCGCCAGCTCTTACACAGAGCGAGGGGTTAGTACTTGCATTTAGTTTGTACCCTTACTTTCTTAAACTAAACTGTTTTTTTCCGGCACTTTCCGAGAAAGTAGTCCGACTTAAAGGTGGGGTAGGTAATTCACTTCAGAAACACTTTGTTATATTCCATGGAATGCATCCAGATGAATGAATACATTAATGTAAATTAAATGCTTTGAAAATAAATATATACAAATAATTCATCTGTGGAAGCCGTGGAGCTGTAAAAAGCACGACCAGTTATCTGCCTCGGCCCGCGGCAGATAACTGGATGGCCTACCTGCCTGTCAGCCTTCCATCTCGTGCACAAACTTATCTCGTGCCCTCATTGGTCATGTGCACGTTCGTGTGTGTTGGAGGAGGGGCTCTGTAAGGAAGTCTGAAGGAAGGGACATATTTTTTTCGGTTGTTTACTTTCCAATTCTAGTGCACTCGAGCTGGTTTCTCCATTCTTACCTACCCTACCTTTAAGTCATTTTTTTTTTCAGGAGCCTGCTGCGGCATATTCGCCACACCGTCTGATTTGGCTTGCATGATGCTGCAGAAGGGTCCCCATGGCACGTTTTATTAAAATCCAAAAATCACATTGAAGAATGCCAATGCTGCCCCAAGGTTAAATCTTGCTTTTAGCTTCCAGTAAGACAAAACACAGCTTGACAGGGTGAAACGGTAAGAGCAATAAAAAAACAAATAACCCAGAGGCTCTTAAGGGACCTCTGTGTGGACAGTAGAGAGCGGTGACAGACATATAAACCAACCCTCGGGCCTCTGCAGTGCCCTTCTGAGTGGAGAAGAGAAGAGGGGGGAAGGAGGAGAGAATGGGAAGGGGGATTAGATGAGTCCTGCGAAACGCACGTCCAAAAATGGGAAAACTATTTTGATCAGTTTACAAACATGTGCTGCTGGATTTGGGGGAGGGGAAAGGATCAAAACTTCAGATTTAAGCAAGGAGAACCCACTCCCCATCACACAACTTTAAAAAGAAACAGTGTTGTGTTTGCTTTCTAACAAACTGTTCATTCATAACACGCCACACTCATGAGTTCGGGACAGATTAAAGTAACAAAGCATAATACAGAGACTACAATGAGGAAATAACTAAGTTACCAATAAAACAAACATGTTTACATTATACCAATTACCAATGTTATCGCTGTAGGTGCACCGTAACAGAGGTCATAATGCTCCTGTACTGTACCAGCTGCACTACCAAATTTGGTCCTCCACTTGACAGGAGGCTCGAAGACTTCACCTACTCTTCTTCAAACTAGACGCCCCCTCCCAAACAGACAGGAGATAGTAAAAGTGTAGCATGAGGAAGGACAGAAAGGACACGAGGGCCTGTACTCACTGGAGACATTTAAGACTCAAAGTCCTGTGGGAAGCTTTCTAGAAAAAGTCACTAATTAGAAAAACCTCCTACGTCAAAGTAAAGTTGTGAGCGCATGTAGCACTCATTGGTGTTCACCGCTGGGAATACAGTCAGAGCAAAGAAATCTACTTTCAGTGGCAGCAAGAAGACGTAAGACCTACTTATTATTATTTTGTACTTAAAACCTTATCATTATCAAACATATGTTTATAATCTGTTTCACATGCGTTCTGACTTCATCGTCATAAAAAGCTCATTTCTCCTCGGAAGAATAACCCAATTACATTTCAATGTAAACTCTGTATTGATACAGTTATAAGTGTTTCTATGTATGTTACACTTTAATAATGTGGCTACGATTTACACATTACCATAAGTTCAGAAATATGCTGTATTTTCCCCAAAGACTTGCAGCTGTCTCAAATTGGGAGTGATCCTTCCTTTCATCTTACATCCCATGCTCTCTTTTTCTGGGAAAGAGTGGAAAGCCTCTGGGAAAGAGAGATATTTTTTCTCCCTTGTGAACAAAAGATTTTATCATATTTTCCCAAGAGTGAGGGACAAATGTCAGTCTGCAAACACAAACACACAAGTTTGTCATCTTTGTCCCCACCTTTCCTCCCTTAAACCAACAGTGGTCCTACTCCAATTAAACTCATTAAATAGAAGTGTGGATTTACTTTGTAGTGCAGAGTACACCGCACATCGCGTGGGGTCCAGTGAAACGTTATAGCCCTTAAGGGGGTTGTATATTGTTTTTCTCACTGTGCAGCGGTTCCCTGATGAGCTAGCACGTAGTTTGCAGCTTTCTAAGACCCTTCATGAGTTCATCGAGCCCTCAAGGGACTCCTCAACGTCTCTCATGAATGGAAACATTGAGATCAAACCTTAAAAAAACACAAACCAATGACTGTGTGTGTTCCATATCATTGCTTTGTCGAATAAGGGAGCAATAACATTGGCAAGGATAGAGCACAGAGCGTGGACATGTGGAAGAGACAGCAAAGGACGGCCAGAGACTAATAGCTTTGGTGATGACAACAGACAGATTATCCTACACTCTAAAACACAAGAGAGGTAATCTGGCCATGTGGCCATCTGGAGCACAAATTATTTATCAAATTGAGTCTGTACCCTTTCTAAATGTTACATCCTGTCGTGCTGTCTTCTGCCCCCTCATCGCAGGAAAACATTAATGGTGAACACTGCACACAGACTGGTTTAGCAAGAGGAAAGGGCGGGCCAGTCTCGCATAATACACATTCAAGTTACATACAGCCAGAAAGAATGAATGCAGGGAAAAGAAATAAAGTGCGAGGGAAAGGGCACTCTTATTTCCTCTGCACAGGATGTGGTTGCTACAAGGGTCAAGGCCATCACTTCTGCGACAGATTAAGACACTCTTGTCGAATAAGGAATTGCACGGTGAAAGAAAAGCAAGCAAAGAAAACAAAGAATACTAACTGTTGCATCAGTGAAGCGCCGATGGAAATAAAAACGAGGGGACTTGTGATTTTGAAAGAAGCCTTGCCGTACTCTGGAGACAAAACAATGTTTGAATGGCTGAAGCTAAAAAAAAATCTTTGTCCTGCCTGTCCAGTTACGTAAAGCAACCCTTTGGGACATTTAGCGCTCAGAAACGTTAGAAACTAAAATAGCGCTGCTGCTCAGCACTATTTGTGCTCAATGGCTGCCAATAAAAGTGTATTTGTGTTAACAAGGCAACCCTTAATTCAGCAGTAGCCAACTTCCACTATATGAAGATAAAGGAAACACAACGCTGGCAGTCTGTAGCCTGTGCTCACTCAACGCAAAATCTTAATGAGCAGGAATCTTAGCTATAATAGACAGCTGATTTGTTAATAGGAGCTAGCTATAGCTGAACAATACTTACAATTAAAGCAACATGACATCAAATGTTCATAGATAATACAATTAGAATGCACCAAAAACCACCTTATATCAATTGGCCAATGAAATTGCTTGTTTAAGTCGGCCAATCACATGGTTGTTTCAATTGCCCAATGCAATGGTTCTTTTCAAACACCGGATCTGATTCCTTGTTATAATTGACCAATCCGAAATGGCTTGTCTCAATCGGCCAATCAAATGGCCCAATGGTATTTCTTCAAGTTTTGCCTCTAACTTTAATTTAGGTAAAACTAAAGAAAATTAAATACAAAAATACATTGCGAGTAAGTCATTTTAAATGTCCACTACTTGTGCAGCAACTGCAGTTAAAGGCCAGAGTCACTAGAAGCCATGTCGGGTAATAAGATAAATGCAGTTTATGAATACAAAACAATACAGTGATGCAAAAATGTGTCAACAAAACACATGTGGCCTTAATCAAGTTAAAGCTAGCCAAGAAAATAAAATGTTATGGAACAGTTTGGGCCCCTGCGCTGTATTGCATAACTGCTTTACTAACTCAGCACTACCATTACTTCAGAAACCATCAAAGGGGATGAACAAGATCAGGGATCAGCTGTCTGTGTGTGTGTGTGTGTGTGTGTGTGTGTGTGTGTGTGTGTGTGTGTGTGTGTGTGTGTGTGTGTGTGTGTGTGTGTGTGTGTGTGTGTGTGTGTGTGTGTGTGTGTGTGTGTGTTTAAATCTGTGCAAAGTGTACGTCATAACACTGGTGATAATGTTTACAGAACTGATGAACAATGTTCTCCGTATATTTCCCGCAGTCACTAAAAGCATCCGAGTGTTGAGAGACAGCCTCGTATTCATCCTTCTTTATAGTTTACATGAAAAGCATGTTGGCGACTTATCAGAGGAAATAAATGGGAAAAAATGTAAATAATAAAAACTTGAAAAGAATGTTAAGGTGCGAAAGCTCGCACGCTCAATACAATAGGCGTAATGTTACTTGCATGCACGCACTTGGGAGACTGCCTTGGGAATAAACAAAGCTAAATGCTTTTAACGTTACCTGCCACCTCCACGATGTCCCCGGGCATAATGTCCCTGGCTTTGATTCTCTGGACACTTTTTCTGTCCTGACGGTACACCTTCCCCATCTCTGGCTCATACTCCTTAAGGGCTTCAATGGCATTTTCTGCATTTCGCTCCTGAAGAGTGGAAATAAGAGGGAACAAAAGTTAACAAGTTCATTTCACACAAACACCAAGCATTTCCCGGGAACTGGATGAAAGGGGAGTTAGAGACGATGTGACGTCTCAGACATGCTGTTTCAGTTAGAGCAGCATTATTCAAATTAACTGATAAGTGTCTAATCTTTGCATAAGCAAAAAAACACAGTAAAAAGGCAAATAAGCGCACATGACAAGTGGTCTAGGCTAGATGGCGGGGAGAATAACGTAAACACTAGGGCTGCAACAAACGACTAATTTGATAATCGATTAATTTATCGATTAATGAAACGATTAATCGATTATTCGGATCGTTAAGGTTTTAACTGTGCTACTACTTATATCGTTACTGCTTATCGATCCGGTCCTTTTAACGATAGTATTAACGGTTCTTTTGACAAGAAATAAGGTAAACTAAATAAACAAATTGTGAACAAAACTAACATTGCTTTTTATTTTAATTAAATGCATAATATGTCACATCAAAAGAAACAACAATGTTTTAACAAATCATATTAAATAATGTGATGACAGAACTGTAAACAGAATAGCTGAAACTTTGACAAAATAAATAACTCAGTTACCTCTAATCATTAACTTGTGTTTTTATAACTGAGTTAACTCTGTGTGTTGCTGCTAGCATACATAACACCTGAGGTGGAAAGGGGCTACAGAGCTGCTAGAAAGACAGTGGAACCCGGTGCATTTCTCCGTCTGGATGTGGAGCAGTTTTGCTAAATGTTTAGACAAATTGCTCGTGTTACCGCCCTTACATGATAAACTGTTATTGCACTTTTGGTAACGAGCATTGTCCACATCGAGACGGCTAAAGTTTAACCACACCTCGGAACGCGTTCTCTCCGCCATCTCCTCCGTGTGTGTGTGTTGCATGCATGTAGCAGCTGCATGTGTGTGTAAACTGCCCCGCCGCCTCGCAAGCAGGCGGGGGAGAGATCTCTCGTCTGAATTGGGAAGATCGAAAATACATTATAGATGCATTTTGTAGTCATATTGCATATTAGAAACTGAGTTGGCGACACTAAGACTGCGATATAATGTTTATGTAGCAATAATACATATGACATATGTTTTAAATGTCTCCTGTACCCATAAAAAAAGAGCAATAACGTTGGAGCTTAACGGGGTGTAGAACACATGTGATGACGTCACCAACGAATCGACGACTGAATTAGTTGCCAACTAATTTGGTAATCGATTTTAATCGATTAAGTCGATTAGTTGTTGCACCCATAGTAAACACTGGTACATGTTGTAAAAGGCTGAAGACTAAGAAAGAAAACAAGAAAGCTTTTGCCTTGGTCACATGGTTATCTTTTCAAATGTGACACAATACATTTTAGATTAACCCAATCAATGGCGATGTTCCAAACCCAAAATGTACTGTATATACAAGTGCCCCGAAGACTACAGTGACATCTTGCTTCTGTTTTGTCGTAATGCTCTCTTATTGCCTATTCAGTTCGTTCTTGATCATTCTTCACTTGCACTTTTGTGTTAGTGCTGACTTCACGGTGTCTGACAGCTCGCTCTGAGAGTGGACAGCTTTAGTGGCAGCTCCCAGCCACGCTGGCAGGAAGGCAGGCAGCAATCAACGAGACACGGCAAAACAAGCACACAACCTCGGGACATTACGCTTTTTTAACTGAATAGCAACAGGGACACGCAGTTACTAAGATGGCTGCTGGTAAAGGTTAATGCTACAAGGTTCAAAAGAAGCTTCAACTGCTTTGAATAGGTAGAGCCATATGAATAACAGCAGGAGCAGATCTCGCCTCCTCCACTTCTACATCATTTACAAAGGCTTTGCTTTACATAAACAAAGTCAAACAACCAGCCACTTACTGCAACAGCACGCCATTTACTAAAGCCTCAGCAGGACCTTAGGCGAGCGATTCATTTACAAAACAATCCAGCAGAAACCCACCCAACCTGCCAGGCATCTACTTTTACCGTAGTGTCATTAAAAATACATGGGGATTGATTTTGGTTCATTTTGAAACCTCAAAAACATTTAAATGGGAGATGCAAGGTCTTTATTAACTGTATTAAACTAATGTTTATGCGTAACAAGCAAGAATCTAGTGAATAATATGATGCATATTAAATGATCTGTTCAGTTAAGAATGAAGGATATACTCCTGAAGACGTCTAAAAGATATTGCCTTATGGGTAGAAAAAAAAAGGCCAGGTGAAAAATAAATGGCTACTAAAGAGATATCATTTAATAAATGTTATAATTAGCTTGACTAACATTTTAATTAATGCCTGATTAAAAAGCATGTCAATTAAATATATCCTTAACTGTTTTGGGGCTGCATTCAAAGGCAGGTGGAAGAACTCGGTGTGTGTATCAGAGCTCCCGTTAGCCGGTAATTACCGGACTATGACCGGTAAAATATGCTGAAGACTGGAAAATCTAAATCTCTTCGGTCAAAATAATTTCCCCTTAGCGCAATACCGCATCAGTTGCGCCACTTATGTGACAGACAAGAATAGTTTGTGACAGACAAAAATAGTCAATTCTAATGTCTAACACTTTGTGGAGAAAGAGATGTTCTTGGGTTGATTGTGCGTTGATCTGTTGGTAATGCCTCGGGGTTCCGGTGGGCATGTAAACAAAGGCATAATGCTGCGCTATACTTTGTGGCCTCACCCGGTTGCATAGCGACACTTATTGTTTAGGTGTCTTTTAAAAAGCAGGTAGTCATATCATTAGCTAGAACTAGCTGGATCTGATCGATATGGACATAAACACGAGTGAAGTCTAATCTGACGTGAGAGAGAGATCAGCTGCTGCTGACGAGTCGACACGCAGCTCTGATCACCTGCAGCGGTGAGCGGAACAGAACACACTTCAGGTTAGAATATCACACGCAGCTATTTTAATTACCTCTCAAACTACCTAAACTAGTTATAGATATGTTTAGTTTTACTGTCGGGTCACTCATTACTGATCCGCGACCTGTATGATACTGTCAGGAGAGAGAGAGCGCTCCGTTTATTATTCCCTTGTTATTGTAAGTTACTGTACACCTTTGAATAATGTAGTTAATCTACTATAATTAGTTTGTTTAATATCGAATCATATCAATTTGTTTTAAAGCTCAATAAATAACAAAGAAGACCTTTGACCGGCACTTTTCTAATTTTGTCCGGAAGATTTCAACTTTAACGGACATTTTGACTGGAACTCTGGTGTGTATCCGTCACAACTGACTTTGGGGGAAATAAGACATATTCTGGGCAATTCTGACTTTGATTGAGAAGGTGTCATGAAAAAGAAAGGAAAATTGATTTGCTTTTCTGTGTGTTGTGATGAATGCCTATATACAAAGCTGATGCTGGGTTTGCTTCCTGCCTATAATTAAGGTGCATTTTAAAAGATCAATAATGCTTCTCATACCGACACCGTAAATCCTGGGGGAAAGCTTAAGACTGTGCAGGCACGTAATAAACAGAGGCATTAAAATAACCACTTACAAGCACAAAGGAAAAACAATTGCATTTGTTGTCTTAATTCACCCTCAACATAATGTGACCCTGCATAGTCAAAGGGCGTGAGATACGGTTTCCCTAAAAGGATAGGTTAATGAATGTGGACGAGAATATACCAAGTGAGGAGGAAGTGGAGCAGGCCAGGTTTCACGTGTGACTGAGACAAGAAGAGGTGTTTCAGATTAGAGTGTTCTTACATTGAGGGGATGTGCGCTGTATCCTTGGCCTGAATGGGAAATGTTACATGTCCAATGTCTTTATTAAAACCTCATTATAGACTTTCCAAAAAACATAGTTTGTGTCCCATATTTTGGAGGCATACATTTCTGAGTATTCATAAAAATAAATAAACATTTGATTCTAGAAGGGACGCTTTGAAAGACCCAAAATGACAAATGTAACATGTTTACCTGCCAGACTCCTACGATGGCGTTTGCTATGAGAATAAGCAGGATAACAAAAGGCTCCACGAAGGCGGTAACGGTTGATTCTCCCTCTTCGAACCAAGCCAGCACCTACACACAGAAGAGAGAAAAATGAATGGACATTGTCGGCATACATTCAATAAGTAATAATAATCAAGTGTGAGATACTGAGCCCATTGAAATCAGGATGGGATACGATTAGCTGCACCCCAAAGAACACTAATAACTAAACACTCATTCTGGAACTTCCACTTAATATCTTTTTCATGCACCTTCCTAGTAATTAAAGTTGTGCCAGGACCAACATTTGACTTTAAAATTTTAAGGATAATTATTTTTAAGTATCCAAAAATCATTTAATAATTCATAGTAAATACAAAGCCAGTATCTTCCAGAATTGTAGGAACTGGGCCAAGTGTGTTACAAAGTCATTGGAGACAAAGTGAGAGCGTAGTAACCACTTTGTCCTCTTTTAGAATCTGTGCCAGGAAGTGAAGTGTGTCAAACGAAATGCCAATGCCCCCCGTTTCCTGCTCCAAGCTATTTAAGCATGGCCAATCAAATGTCCAATTAATACAAAGAAAAAAAAGAAAGGTGCACATCTTTGTATATTTTGCTGTTGTTTACATTCTGTCATACTGATAGATATGTTCATGTGTCTGCGGGCTGTGTGCTGGTGTGATTGAACGCTACTAAAACAGCTGGTGATTTATGAGCTTTGTGACCATTGCTGGCTGTCATCTTCATGGCTTTGTGAGTGATGTTCTTAGCCGATACACAAGGAATAAATCCTAGGAGAAACAGGACCACGGGATAGTATACCGTGTCACACATAAACAACAGTAGGGATTGCTTATCACTAGTGACATCAAAATAAGACTCAAAAGTGATGTCTGGTTTAAGAAATGTATTCACAATAAGAATATAAAAAATGGTCATCAAAATGTCCAGTTTTATTATCAGGTGTCTGCCACTTGTACTCTTTAACAGCCAAACAAACAGCATGCTGCTATTCCCAACAATGTGACACATAATAAAGTGAAATAGCCATTAGTTGCCAGATTAATAACATTTCAGCATTTATTTTTAACTATAGACCACTTGGCTATTGAGGTTTTAACATAATCTGTTTGAAAGCAAGACTCAAAGAGAACCTAATGACTTGTGATTTACTTTGAGACCAAAAGCAGAGCTAACATACTGTATCATTCTAGAAGACAGAATCATGAAAATAAATGGTCATCTGGGTTGTGTCCCTAGACAGATTCTGGGCACCTTCTTCTCACTGAATCAGAGAAGGTCTCTGTGCACACTTTGTAGGATGATAGAGCTGTGCTAAGAAGAAAAAGCACTGAACTCATCACTAAAAAAGTAAATAGAAGGAATGTGGTGGAGATGAACGCAGACAATGTTTTACTTGTTCATTTTCTCTCCTAAACACAAACTGTCTGTTTTGAAGGAAAGGAGCATGCTTTGGTATATATAGGAAGATCTGAGAATGGATTATCCAGTCACTACTCTAGTACCAAGCATCTTTATAGACAACTTTATCTCAAGTTGAGAGTGGATGACGCATCTCTTTACAACGAGTGACACAATCTGATCACAGACTTTTATTACTACGTATCTAGATACTAAACAAGGCAGAGCACCTGGCTATGCAAAAATGAAATGGGAGTTTCATAAAGACAGATCCATCAGGTCCAGACTGGTTTAATGAACTCTCCACAAACCACCTCGACAACTAACAAAACATGTGTATTATACTTACAAATGATATGCAGGCGGCGAGTAAAAGGATCCTCACAAGCAAATCTTCAAACTGTTCAACCACTAGTTCCCAAAGGGATTTACCTAGAAGACAAACATTTAATTTAATAACTGAAATTTAAATGAACGTTTCCATTTAATTGAAATATTATGAATGATGGATTGTGAACATATACAGGCGGCTTCCACTTACCCTCCTCCGCTGGCAATTCTGCAGATCATCCCATTCAGACCGCAGGCAAAAGAGATGGACAATGGGTTATTTAAATTAATAATAATTTAAAACAATAGAATATTACTGTAGCAGTAATACACAGATCGTTAATATAAGAAAGGACGATGAATTGTTTACTAAGACACATCACTGATGCTCGCCGGTATTACAACATAGAGTGCATGACGTCGACAACCTTCCGTTTGGTTCAACAGTTACAAATCGGGCCATCATGACACCGGCATAACATAAAAAGCTAACGTTACTTGTTTTTTGAAATAAGAATTTGTTTACAAGCTCCTTACCGTTTGGTCCATAACGTTCCCGTTGTTTCCTAACTTGCTCTAAACTCAGACCTGTGCTTTCATTCACGTTAAAAAAGCTGTAAACTTCTTCAACCGTCTTTGTGTGTGTGTTGTCCATGGTGAACGACCACTTGAGGACACGGCTTGTATTGCCCTGCTGGTCCCAGCCTCAACCTGTCACGGTTCTCTCCTCCTTTAGTGTGACCTCGGGACTTAAAACAAAAAAAAATACTTGATGAAAATAGGAGCGAAGATCCCACGGTGTTGACCGTAACGGAATAATTAGCTTCAACGCGGGACAGCTTGGCGTGCAGGTGTCTGGCGAGTTGACGAGATAGCGGCTTCTGAGCTAACGGATAGCTAACAGGCTAAAGCTAGCTAATGTTAACTGTTCGGCTCCGCTTGAATTCGCCGGCTGTAGTCCGCTATGTTTCCTGCGAGACCTTAAGTGAACAATTCATAGTAAACGTCACAGCCTCAATTGGATATTTAAATATATTACTCTTCTTCTAAAACAGCAAATATCGGTACAATTCGGTCCAAATAGATGGCTTAAACATGTGGCTCTGTTGCAGCTCGCTTTGCCTGTGTTGCGGAATCACCGACGTCGCTATCGGCACCAATCGGGATTGTCCGCTGCAGCTCTCGCGTTTGTCGAATGCGGTGTTCAGTGTCCGCATGTGGAATCAGCTGATTGGTTGGACACACCGGAAGTCCTTCTCTCCCATATGTCTCCCCACACCTTGGTAACTTCCTCAAAAAACAGCACCCAACACATCCCACTCTCTCTCTCTCTCTCTCTCTCTCTCGCTCTCTCGCTCTCTCTCTCTCTCGCTCTCTCGCTCTCTCTCTCTCTCTCTCTCTCTCACTTTCAACGACGGCTGTGCTTTTTTATTAAAGGGCCTTTTCCCTAGACTAGAGGACACTGAAACTCATTGCAACCTTTTTCATTAGATTTATCCAGTTGCATAATTCCTGATGTATTAGTTAGTGTGGGTTAATAATTATATGTAAATGTTGCAAGGAGGGAAATAGTTAAACAAATGTATTTTAGTCAAATAGAAAGAACAATTTTGAGGAAAATATCCTGTTTTACATGTGTGTAATGTATCTCATGTGTTGAGCAAGGAATAAACACCCACTTTTCTATGCTAAAATGTCCTGTTATCTAAGTGAGCTTCTTATTTTTATCCGTTTCCCTACTGTAAAACACTCATCAATCTTATCTTCTGTTTTGAGTGAGAGTGGTGGGTAAATAAGGATAAGGTTGGTTTAAGTGATACATGATTTCCCCTTAGAAAGGCTTGCAGCACCAACCCTGATAATACTGCAGACATCAGTTTGGTTATCTCATATTTGTCAGAGTTGACTGAGAAGAATCCCATTCTTTGACAGGCTGCAGTGTCAGTGATATAACACAGTAGACGCTATCAATTCGTATGTGGACATTTATCATGTCAGAAAGAATGTATCTTTTAAAGCCATCGTAAAAATGGTCAGTGACACGTCTAACCTTTTGCATGGGACATTTTTATGGTTTTGACATATACAACAACCTATACATTGAAATCCATAGCCATTAGTTGGCTATCTTCATACAGGACAAACAAAGAGAATCCTTCCACAGTTAAAATCCCCTAAAGAAAATGAGATAACTCCTGTGTGAGATGGTGTCTTTCTTTTGCAGCCTCTGCTTTCTCAGGAAGACAAGTTATTTTAAGACACTGTGATTAATGTGTGATGTCACAATCAGACTTCTGCTCAATGACAAGGAAAGACTGAATCTGTGCAGCTATGGTGACAGTTGGGCTAGCCTGATAAAAACAAAACCTCTCTGCAACTATTCAGACACATAGAGCCTGTGATGAAAATAAAAAAGGACACATTCAGATCTAATCTGATAGACTGTTCAGTTAACATTACTTCTGTCTTCCAATAAATAATGACTTACTCAAAAACAAGTGCTGTCTTTGAAGACCATTCCCAGATTTGTTTTTGTGATACTTTAATCAGTTATGCTTTGATAACAAGAACCGTGCTCAGTAGGAAAGTTAAAGATGATGAAACGATGTTTTACGATTTTCTTTCCAAACCTGAAATGATCAAATACAACCAAAAAAACTGGTCAGATAAATGCATATTTCATATCTCAACGCCTTGATATATTTTTGGAAGCGCACAACTAAAATGTATATATCTAACATTCTGCTAATGTTAAACAGGGCTGTTATTCCTCAGACTCCAATATCTAATTTCTAGTTTGTTGCATTATTACAATTAAAAAACAAGAACAACACACATGCCGCTTTTGAGCCTGAATAAAAAATCATTCAGCAGAGATGTAGCTTGAGTCAAAACTAATCAGCTCTAGTTGAAATTAAAAATAAATGTCAAAAGGGATTTATTTTCTCCATACGACTTGATACATATGCAGCATATTCTATTATTTGTTCATCTGCAAATAAAATCACACCATTCCCTTTCCACATTTGGCAAATACGTTTTTGTTTTGTTCCACAGCTTATATAACTCAACCAACAGGGCAACAGCATCAGCAGCTGTGGATTTCTTAGCTGACAGTGAGGATGTTTTTTAATTCATTATTTTGTGTTATATGTGTGGGCAGTGCAGAGAGAGAGTGAGTTACAGTCCAATCTGATAAAGGTTCTGCTGTGGATGTTTATGTGCTAGCAAAGTCTGTGGCCAAAAGGTTGTGCGGGAAGGTTCAGGTTTGTTTGGACAGCTTGTTTAGTTGCTCACTGTGAAGCCAGTTCATTCTCTTTGGAGATCGGATGATTTCTCTGCAAGTCATACTTTTTTCTTTTCGACGTCAAAGGAGAAATGTCAGGACACAGAGGTTAAAAGCAATGCAGGCTTTGTTTATGACTAGCTCCAGGGGGTTGATGCACATTTCTGCTAGTTTGATAAGACACCACTGACCTTTCACCCAAGGTTTTCTAGGTCATCAACAACATATTTATTTACTGAAAAGAAAATGTTTGTTTATATATCCACGTCGTTGAGATACTCTTTTAATTTTAACCTTACAGATGTGGGTTGATTAAGGACATTTAAGTGGTATAACATACATTTACTATTACCATTGCCAACTGAAAGAGATTCTTGCTTCACTCAATGACATGGCTTCTAATTTTGGGCACTTATTATCCATGCCACTGTTTGCTACTGTCATGGAAGGCTATGTACAGCAATGCTAATTTCACAAAAATACTATGAGCTGTTTTTATCCTGGAAAACTGTATCTTCTGAATTGCAAGTCTTCACCAAATGTCGTATCCCGTGTGGCAACCGGGGCCCTTTTCCATCTCATGCCTATGTTTGGCTTTTCAGCACAAAATTACTTGATCACCTTATAAGGTTCCCTAAAAGTGCATGTGCACATCCCAGAATTAAATGGTTAAACGTTTAGCCTCTTGGTACCCAGCATCCCTTGTTCTTGAAAAATAAATAAATAAATGCCTCTTTGCTCTGGAAGTGCGGTACCTCTACCTGCCACTGTAGACTTTGACTTTGGTGTTCGCACACATGCACTAAGGTTACATGAGTCACAGCACACCATGATGAGTGGCTACTGTAAATTATATAGTAGCGCTTTTCGTGGACTAAAATCGATGAAGAAAGGCTTATGTTGTTTATCTTGTAATATTCATCATGACATATGCTTGTTTGAATTGTATGAAGATCCAGTTGATGTCTTGAATAAGGTAATTGAGCAAGAGGAGAAGTCTTTGTAAGCCTCTAGAAACAGGCAGGCTATTCAACAACATATTTAGTACAACAACACATTTAGTAAACCTTAAATACCATAAATGGTTTACCTTGTACAAAACATTATTAATTATAACGCTCAGTGTGTGTTCTGGCTATTTAGTAGTCCTTGAAACCCACCTGAGGAGAAATCTCATTCAGTCTTTGACATATGACTATGACATTCAGATTAGATTGCAAACCATTACCGAAAACACGTTTACCGAAAACAGGTTTAGTACCATTACCGTTCGAAGATTTTCCAAAGCAGCTGGATAACTCCATTCATGTGAATTTGCCGCACTCAAGTGGTCAGTTATATTATTACATGTTTTATATACATTCTCTGTTAATTGTTGTTTGTGAACATGTAGTGAATGTGGTGTAGAGCTACGTAGTCAAAATGTTATTTGTCTACTCAATGTAAACAAATGAGAACATCAGTCATTTAGTATCAGGCTAAACTGACTTCAAATAGCAGTTTTGTGAGAGTTAGCTTTATGCTGAGTTTAAAATAAAATAGAGAAGGACAAGACTGCAAACAAAGTTGATGCATGCTTTCCTTTTTTCCACAGAGAGGCTACATCAAGAATGTATTATGACTTATTTTCATTGGTTTTACAAGTACTACTATGACGTATGCAAAAGTGAGAACAGGATGAGTCTCGCGATAGTTACACGAGGGGTCAAAGTTGACATTGGCCATGTGCTGGGAGCACAATGAGTCACATTTAACAAGTTTTGGATGGATTGGCGATGTTAAAGCAGCAAGTATAGGTTTGAATCAAAAACAGTATTGCCCCACAGTTCCAATCTCGTCCATTCCACCCTGCTTATTCCCATTGCCAAGTGTAGACCTCAATATACAAAGGGAGTTAAAGGAAAAGAAAGAACTACCATTATGGCGCATAGTCCAGAATTATTTTGCAATATATCACTCAGACTCAACAATCATATTTACAGATGGTTCCAAAGATCCAGAGACAGGGGGTGCAGGGGCAGCAGTATACATCCCAGTGAGTAATAAACATATCAAGAAAAGGGTAACAGACCATGTGTCAGTATACACCACAGAGTTGTTGGCATTGGTACTGTCATTGAAATGGATAGAGGAGAAAGAAATACATAATAGTGTAATTGCATCTGACAGCTTTTCAGCATTATCGAGTATACGATCGGGTAGATCTTCATCTAGAATGGACATAATAAATGAAATATATCTAATTTTATATAAAATGCAAATCAAAGGCATAGCAACTCGTTTCATCTGGGTTCCTGCTCATGTTGGTGTGGAGGGTAATGAACAGGTGGATATTCTGGCCAAACAAACACTCAGAAGTATGAACATAGACATAGAAGTTCCACTCAGTAAAGCGGAGGTTAAAACATTCATACAGAAATATGCACAAACAACATGGCAAGATCATTGGGACCTTAGTGATACAGGAAGACATCTTTATAAAATTCAAAGGTATGTGGGGGATGGAAGGAAGGTGGGGTTTAAAAGAAGGGAGGAAAATGTCATTTCTCGGACAAGAATAGGTCATACAGGTCTCAATCAAACATTCAGTATAATAGGAAAGCATCCAACCGGAAAGTGTATACACTGTAGCCAGCCAGAAACTGTTGATCATGTTTTACTGCTTTGCGGGAAATATAGTACTCAGAGAAATGTGTTTTTCCAGACACTGAAGAAAGCAAAATTATATGACTTGTCGCTATCAGGACTGTTAGGGAAAACATCAGGCAATATATATTGTGAGATTATAAAATTTCTAAGAGAAATTGATCAATTTAAAATAATCTAGAGTTTTGGTTCTTTTTTTTTTCTTTTTTCTTTTGTTTTCTGCTTAGTCTCTTGTCCACACTCCAGTCCAGTTGGTGGCGGTAATGCAC